GTATGACAATATTGAAGAAATTGAAAAAGAAAGACCAAGGAAGATATTCTTGCTGCAAAATTGTTAAGTGACAACTTTTAAAATTCACTTAATCCTGATATATGTATTAATGTAATGTAAAACTTATATATATTAGTATTATGTATAATTGCGCCGCGCGTATTAATTGTACACGTTAAGCACGCGTGGGCGGTTCGGCGGCCGCGTAGTAATGCAGTGACGGCGTAGTAACACTCTCGCGCGGCATGACTGTATCGTCCACGCCTGACACGCCAGTCTCGTGCCAGAGCTAATCACGACCAGTCGTACACCCCATAATTCTCTTCAGATTTACGTACAGTTTTATTCAGTTCTTTTCATACAGTTTTGATCTCAGTTTCTTGTCAATCAGTTTTTATTTATCGTTAAATTCCTAAAATCAGTATATTTATATCCTTCCTATCAGCGATTAACGTATACGCGCGACGAAAGTAACAGCGTTCATTAACGCATTATTATTAATATATATATATATATATATATATATATATATATATATATATATATATATATATATATATATATACGTATACAGCGTACGATCAGACCAATTCCAGCACAATTACTTGTTACAAGGATAACAGTTATTATAAGGACCAGCTAAAATAAAAGGATTATATTTCTTGGACGAATATTTTAACAATATACACATTTATATAACTATATAAATTCAAGGACAAGTCTATTAATAATAATAATAAATAAACATTTAACAAGTAAGTAACTCAAGGTTCATTAGTGTAAACTTGTCTTCTTCTTACCTATTTCTCTATAATAATAATAATACTTGGAATAATTACCATTTGGCAAATTTCCACGTATTCATTTTGTGTATAACTACATATATATACATATATATATATATATATATGTATGTCAAAGATCGATTCAGACGACTTTTTATAGATTTTAAATATAACATTATAGATGTGTATAGATTCATAAATGTTGGTAATCTATAACAAATCCCGATCATTTAACAATAAATTAGTTTTCTGACTTATAATCGAAACAGGCGACTATAATCTATAAGTCTTCGGAAACGAGTTCATAAACCAAGTGAAACCTCTAGGAGATTATATTCTTCAAACAAAAGTTATCAGCTGATTGACAATTTAAAATATCAATAAAGGAAACTGATTATCATGTTATATAAAAATTTCAACAAATTTATGTCAAACAGATTCGCATCTACTTCATTTAAAGAAAAATTAAATATTATATAATCAGGATAAAAACTATATTCTGATAAAAGCCAATTATGAGGGTAGAGAATCGATTTAAAATAGATATTTAACAGAGCAAAACCCATATGGGACGACTCAAAAAAAATACTACTCAATTAAACTCATCAGTGCCCCTAAATAGACATAAAACTTTGAAAGAGTCAATTTGTAATAACACTAATAACATTTTACCAATAAGTAAAGCTTCAACTAACACGTAGCATACAAATAGAATAATAAATTTATTAAGAAATTAATAATTTTGTTAATTTATTATTGTGTCTATATCGCAAATATATATCGGGCCAGAGCCGTTTCAGGCGACTTACTCCGTACAGCTTACATTGCTGACCCGTACAAATACTCAAAATATCCACAATGATTCGGACGATGATTTGTGAATGACAGACAATTTTTACCTTTAGCTATAGCTAGCTGAACATCGGTGAGTTCTAGATATATGATAGACTGTAAGTTTTTCCTTATTCTAACCTGAACTGGTATAATTTACGGAAATATATATCGGGGTTAGAGTCGTTTCACACCAGTCGGATCCAAGCGCCATTTCTTCAACACGCTTCGAATTTGGCAGAGTGCTTAGTTAACTTCAGCGAGACTCTCGTGTTTGCAAGAAGTGATTTCCATTCGCACCAATATGGCGTGTTTTGTATTGATTCTATATACAGCTATTAATATGGTGGGTTTTCTTATCGATCATAATTTTCATTAGTAGTTGGAGAGAACATACACCATCAAAAACGCGTTGCTGACTACGCAAAAAAGTGGTTTCCCATCCTTACATGTACAAATACTCAATTTCTTGACCATTAACCAGGAGATATTCCATAATCGTCACAGATATAATGTACCGATAACCATATCTCATTGAACTTTATGTTTTTGAACATTTGTAACTGGAAAAATTACCCTCTATTTTAAAACTAAAGTTATCTAAGAAATAAACAATATATGTATAGCCAGAGCCGTTTCAGGCAACTTACTCCGTACAGCTTACATTGCTGACCCGTACAAATACTCAAAATATCCACAATGATACGGACTATGATTTGTGAATGACAGACAATTTTTACCTTTAGCTATAGCTAGCTGAACATCGGTGAGTTCTAGATATATGATAGACTGGAAGTTTTTTCTTATTCTAACCTGAACTGGTATAATTTACGGAAATATATATCGGGGTTAGAGTCGTTTCAGACGAATCGGATTCAAACGCCATTTCTTCAACACGCTTCGAATTTGGCAGAGTGCTTAATTAACTTCAGCGAGACTCTCGTGTTTGCAAGAAGTGATTTCCATTCGCACCAACATGGCGTGTTTTGTATTGATTCTATATACAGCTATTAATATGGTGGGTTTTCTTATCGATCATAATTTTCATTAGTAGTAGGAGAGAACATACGCCATCCAAAACGCGTTGCTGACTACGCAAAAAAGTGGTTTCCCATCCTTACATGTACAAACACTCAATTTCTTGACCATTAACCAGGAGATATTCTGTTGGAATAATACAACGACACGTTCACTTCTATATCAGTGAGGAAGGGACAGCGATGCTTATGTTTTTCTAGGAAAGGTGAATTCTTGTTGCCCCTTCTGTCTCTACTCAAGAGGTCACGAAGGATTTGTTTTATGCCGTGCAAAACCTTCAATACGGAACTAACCGACGCGACAGACAGTCGCAGTTTTTCACAAGGCAGTTTTTCACATCAAGTTATTCAGTGTTTCTTTGCTTTTATAAACAGTGTTAATTACGTGCTACTTTTATGTATGCATTGCATGCTGTCTTATTTTATTACTTGTATTATTAATAAAGTTCTTTTTATAATAATACTTTATATTTGAATTAATAACCGACATATTCCATAATCGTCACAGAAATAATGTACTGATAACCATATCTCATTGAACTTTATCTTTTTGAACATTTGTAACTGGAAATATTACCCTCTATTTTAAAACTAACGTTATGTAAGAAATAAACAATATATGTATAGCCAGAGCCGTTTCAGGCGACTTACTCCTTACATCTTACATTGCTGACCCGTACAAATACTCAAAATATCCACAATGATACGGACTATGATTTGTGAATGACAGACAATTTTTACCTTTAGCTATAGCTAGCTGAACATCGGTGAGTTCTAGATATATGATAGACTGTAAGTTTTTCCTTATTCTAACCTGAACTGGTATAATTTACGGAAATATATATCGGGGTTAGAGTCGTTTCAGACGAATCGGATCCAAACGCCATTTCTTCAACACGCTTCGAATTTGGCAGAGTGCTTAGTTAACTTCAGCGAGACTCTCATATTGAATATGAAATTTTCCATTCCCTATTTTCAAGCTATACTAGTTTTTTAAATATATATCTGGCTAGAGTCGTTTCCTACGACACATTGTCAAGTGCCGTTTTTATTATTTACCTTTATTGTGCTGAAGCTATTTTCGTAGAATTAATAAAGTATGAGTGTTATGGAAAAGCGTGATGTTCGTTAACTCGAAAATACATGTATCAAACGCGATCAAATGAGCCTAAAGTTGTATAAGTATTGTGGTGAATAGCAAGGCATAAGCGTTGTTCAAATATTTTGACTTGTGTCCAGCAATATGGAGCATAAGACAACAAGATCTTTTGCTAGTAGTTCTTTTTCTGAACTTCTCTTCAGTTTTAGTTTCTTCTGTATGAGTGTTACCGATGAGGTTATACCGCTCTGATGGGAGGCTGTAAGAACAATGGCATATTGACTTCGAGAAGTTTATAAGAAATAGATATCGGATCACGCAATAAAATTTAAATGATTAGTTGAAAATTAATGATAATTCAAGACATCTATTGATATCTGTTTTTTGGTAGTGGTAGAAAAATAACTTCTATAATTTTCGTGTTAGTTTATAAAATGAGTGACATATATATACTATTGTAGTATAATTACAGATCGATTCAAAGGTACTTATTGAAATTGACTTTTCTTGTATTTTTAAGTATATTTGGTCGTGGAGATTACATATATTCAATTAACTGAGGAATAAATGGTTAAGAAGTTTATATTTTTATTTATATTTCACGTGTTATAACGAACGGGAATGATCCTCGTTATATGTCTTTAGCTTTCATTGCATAAATATATTTTTTATAATTATTGTATTTCTGTATGTTCTTGTAAGGAGTACTTCTGCGCCGCGGAGGATTATGTAAGTTGAGGAAGAGAGAAAGAGACAATCTTGTTTTAGTTTATTTATAAATACTCACAAATAGAGAAACACAATTTGCGTTATAAGAATGTGTTAATATTTATTATATCATAAAAACGTAGAAAATTTAAAGTCTAATAACATCTGCGTGATAATCATATTTCACATATCTCTTTGAAAAACTAAATAAAAGTACATTTTAAACGTAAATAATTAACGTACAAATTATCGCCTCAGTCAGTATGAGGATTTTACAAGTGTGTTTCTTACACATTTTTAGATCTTTTCAATTAGAATAATAAATAATAATTTATGTTATATGATTAGTTAAAATCTTTGAAAAAGCGAAAAAGTACATTTTTAATGTACATAAAATAAATGTTATAGAGTTTTACATTATGTTTTGATTCTCTCAGTTGAATACAATCTGTTATATATCAACTTAAACTATATAAACAAAATCAATAATAAAATAAATATTATAAAATAAAAATAGTAATATTAGTCAGTAGAGGACATTTTATGTGCCTCTTTCACACATTTTTGAATACGTCGAACTGAATAATCTCTGTAAAAGGACGACTCCATTGCTTTCAGACAGTCTTTTTCGGTAGGTATAGTTTTTTTTTTTATGTGGTGCTCAAACGTTTCATAAATTTTAGATGGTACCATGTTTCTCTTTGAACTTGAATTATTGTTTACACATTCTTCTGTAGATATCTGTTTTCTTAACGAATGGATACATGTTCGCGTTGAAGCAACATCTCGGTTGAAAAATATTTGCTGATTTTCGCGGAGCATTTTTGAAATTTTCGAGCCACATATCTTCAATTTGCTATCTATTATTTCATTTCTAAAATAATTTTGTATGATTTCAAGTTCTTCCTTTTGCCACCTACGTTTACTTAATTCTGAAATAGTACAATGAAACATTGTTAATAAAATCCCTTCACTTAAGAAGATTTAATAGTATCTTAATAAATTCAAAAATTTTAGTAGAATCAGATGATTCATATGATAAAAAATCTTTCTTATCATTAACAAAATAATAGATTGCAAAATTTACTTCCGTTAGGGAAATTAACAATGAGTAATATATTTAGATTCCAAACTAATACAAGAATACAAAGTCGTACATTAACTAATTTATATGGAATATAAATATTTAAAAAGTATGACGGTCTTACGTTTAGTTTTACCAGATCCTGAAGATTTTGAAGACTGACGGACAACTGGTAATGATATTTTAAGTGCAGAATCTAACGTGGAAGAATTATCACAAGTAACTTTTGTTACTGAATTGATTTTGAATTGTTTTCTCAATGTTTTTTATTATTTGTTCAACTTCGGTAGTCAAATCTAACTGTGATTTTGCAGATATTTTTAAACTATTGGTTGCATCTGAAAATTTAATATATAAAGTTTTATTTATATGATTTCTCGTAAAATGAAACAAAAGATGCTTCAAAAGTAAAACAAAAGCAACAATGTAAGTTATCAATCTTCGATAGTAAATTTAGTGTCATCAAGAATTAGTTACCTTCGTTTTCTGTCATGACAACTGGTAATGATATTTTAAGTGCAGAATCTAACGTGGAAGAATTATCACAAGTAACTTTTGTTACTGAATTGATTTTGAATTGTTTTCTCAATGTTTTTTATTATTTGTTCAACTTCGGTAGTCAAATCTAACTGTGATTTTGCAGATATTTTTAAACTATTGGTTGCATCTGAAAATTTAATATATAAAGTTTTATTTATATGATTTCTCGTAAAATGAAACAAAAGATGCTTCAAAAGTAAAACAAAAGCAACAATGTAAGTTATCAATCTTCGATAGTAAATTTAGTGTCATCAAGAATTAGTTACCTTCGTTTTCTGTCATACCCATTTCCAATAATTTGGAAATTTGAGTAACGACGTGAACGATCTGTGGCTGTCGGTATACCTGCTTATGGATGTCTAAGCGGTGACCCAAGAAATAGCTAGTTCTTCGTAATCGCGTTCTGATAAATTTAATAAAGCACATAACGTTGCTATGTGTTTACGCATCGCAGTTCCTCGAAGACTTTCCGGATGCTCTGCTCCGCATTGCTCAGAATATCTGCGTATTATTCCACAGGGTTCGGGAACTTTAAACTCCTCAACTAAATTTGAACTAGGTAAACCGAAAACATACGGATTTTCTTTAGGAACTCTAGCAATATTTCTAAATGAGTAAAATAATTCGTAGCACTCTTCATCTTCTGATGAAAGTAGTAGTGAAACTATACGTGATCGCTTTGCTAGTGTATATACGTGCTTATATGTTTTGCCCAATAACTGACTTTCATTATCTAGTTTATTATAAACTTCTGGCATAGTTTCTACAATACTTTTTTTTTGTTATAGTAGCGTGTTTCAAAATACGCCATGTCACCGACACGCTTGCGATTAAAAATGAGCGAAATTAATAGCTGGCTTTCGCCAAGCTGTTCCCAAGCTTTTTTCGTAAAGCCGTCCTTTTCTAAAGACTCCCGAGCTTCTTTTCTCATCTTTAGAGCATACGTATAAAACCTTGTTACATCTTCCGAACTAGTTTCTAACACTTCTTTGTCAGCTACATGCCTCACTGTAGACTGTGAAGCTTTTTTCGTTAAGGAACTTCTTATATCTACTTCAAATCTATTTTGAAATGAAATGCATTTATTTTTTTTCTTTTCAAGACTTCTTACGATTTCTAGATTACTTTCGTTTAATTCAAGTTGTTCGTTCAAATAATCTAATTGTAATTTTATTAAATCATCAGTAAAACTGGCAAGTTGTGTTGCATTTGAAGGGTGCTGGTAGATACCAGTAGTTGCTTTGCCTGCTACTGCCTCTATTGCTGCTTCATATTTTGCTGAAGTATTTAAGGTAAATGCGTCTCCTAACTCCTGAATATCGTCACATAAAAGAAGTAACTCTTCTGTCATACGTCCAATTAATCGAGCCTCTTGTCGTATTTGTGTTAACATGGAACGTTTCCTAATAGCATTTTCGTACTTTTTTAAACGCATATTTACATATAAGATGATTAAACGGTCTTTCAAAAGTACATCTCCTATAGAATCTGATCTCAAAGCACACATCAATTTGGCAGTCTCTTCGGTAGCACAAACATGAATTTTCAGATTCGATCCTTTAATATAAGTTTTCAAATTAACATTTCCTTTGAGTTTGTCTTGATTAATACACTTTTTAACATGTGTAGCTAATCTTTTACGAATATATGAGCCGTGACAATTGGGGCATTTTGCATAATCACTCGGCTTAACTTCTTTTTTAACGACTTCTTTTTCATTTGCCGTGTTATTTACTATAACTTTATTTTCATCTCCATTTTTATTTTGCTCTTGCAGTTTCGCGTTATCTTCAATCACTTTTTTAGGCTGTCTTTTACCTGCCAAAGGAATTCTACAAACCTCTAAATTATCAGAGATTTCGTTTCGATAATCGCGTCCTCTGTTTAGTAACATTTTCAATAACCAAAAACGTTCAAGTGACTTTGGTTTCATACCGATAAATTCTTTTACTTCGGGTTCATCAGAATGCATGGCCTCAAGATGTGGTGGCAATTTAACAAAATTCTTATGGCAGAAGGGACATGTATAAGTCCCTGAACTTTTTTTAATTTCATTCAATTCTTTAGATTTGTTTGTTAGGCTTCGTCGCTTCAAGATTTTAGATAAATTTAAATCTATCACTAAAAATTATATGATTGTTTAATAATAATAATAGATATTATAAAAATGGAAATTTATAGTGATACTAACAATGTAAATGATGAATGGATTATGAGAACACTGAATTGAATATTATAAATGAAATTATAAGTTAAGTAAATTCCCCAAAAATATACCAAATGAAATATTTTTTAAAAAATGTTAAGGTGATTCCCGTTCTTTCGACTACTGTTGTCAAGAAATAGATATCTCTTTAAAAATGAAATTTAACTTTGAAATAAACTCGGAGGTCACGTTGAAGGTCAAATTTAAAGAAACCAATGGATTTCTCGTAAAAAGTTAGAAAAAGAATTTACTGTTGAGAAAAATATTTGACTTGGAAAGTTTCTGGGAGTATCCATACTTTTTGGATACCCTACATATGTAGACTAAGAATTTATTCGCTTTTTTTACTAATGTCAGTTTTCATAATATGTTGATCTATTGTTCAACTAATGACTTATTTTATAATTCAGATATTTCTAATGAAATTGAGAAACATAAACAAAAAAATCTTTCAATTACCTTTTCGAGTGGATGATTTACAAGCTGAATCTAGTGGCGATTGTGACTTTGAATTTGGTACGACGTTCTCTATGTTATTGTCATCGTTTTCTTCATAATCTTCCATGTCACTTTCATCATGTTCTAATGAATAAAAACATATATATATATATATATACAGTAATAACGTGTCATTTGAAAACAATTAATTGATAATACCTGAAGGCTCGTATGACCTATCTCTTGGATCTAAAAAAATGAATGTCGAATTATAATTATTTAGAAGCGAAAATAAATCATAAAATACTTATGGATTGTATTTATTACCATCGCCATCTTCGTCATCACTCTCAATTTTTCTACGCTTAAATGGCCGGTTTTTGATTGCTTCTTCTGGTGAATCATTATTTTTTTCAGAATTTACAGCATCGTTTCCAACATTGCAAGTATTTTCTTCTAATGATACTAAACTATTTGAAGTATACAACCTCTTCTTAATTTTGTTTGTTATGTCATCATCTAAATGGAAATTATTAAAATTTTTTATATAATCATATGACTATTTGTATTTAAGTAAAGTGTCAAATGTCAAAAAATAAAATTTTTTTAAAAATGATGCATGTATAGCAGGAATTGATATGATTTTTCTCTATTACCATTAAAATATTAGTCACTAGAAAAAGTCAAGCTTTAAACATTATCTTGGCGGGTTTGATTTTTAATTACAAAGAAATATCATTAATTATTAAATAATGAACCTTTAGTAAAATTTCATACTGAGTGGACGTAGTTACATATGCCTAAGTACGAGAAACTAATACAGAAATTGAAAGTGATACACAAGTTAATATTGGTAGTAGTTGTCGCGCTAATCGTATCATCTTTCATTCAGTATTTATGTGTAACTAATCACAAGCAAATTCAGAAGTGAAATTAAAATCCAAGCCGAAATGACATACAAATGGATCTCATGCCATCAAAAAATGAAAAAAAAGCTGGTAAGAGGTAGGTGGTAAACGGCTGAGGCATAGTTCATAAATAGTAATCAAAAGCCCAAACGTTTTACGTACAGACGCCACACCAACTGTAACTGTCTACCAATTTGAACTGTTGAGAGATTAAAGAAAGAGAAAGATGTCAAAATGAAGAGGACATAGTTTAGACATTCAAATCTCCATCGATTTATGTAGAGAAAGTGGAAAATATCAGACCTTTCTAAGAATTACTTAATAGTATAGGTAATAATAGCTATACTTATCATACTAATATTCATAGAATATTATAAATGCCCAACGCCACTTTTCACAATGCAACTGGTTATTCGCAACAACAACTTAAAAATATTAAAGATAAACAAGCTATTCAATACTGTAGAAAGAATATAAGTCCAATCAAGTGTCAAATAAACAATGCACACTACCGAGCGACAGTCAGGGAGCGATGTAAATCGTAGCTAGTAATAGAATTAACAAGCTAAGCAGTAAATTCTAATTTTATATACGCTCAAGGTGCGGCAGATAAACAAACAGATTCTATTCAAATTTAATAACCGGTACTGCTTACCAACTAGTACCAAATGAAGTAAATCGTGACAATAAGCTAGAAATAATGATTGAAAATCTCATGGATAAAATGGAGACGATGTTGATTCTATTGAGAGCTCTGATTAACAAAATACCAAAATAAATGATAAATTCAAAATAGCTATTTCAAGTGCTAACGGATTGAGTCAATGAAAACTAGAAATTGAAAATTATCTCACTCGTAAAGAAATAGATGTGATCATAAAAACCTCTTTTTAGAAGTAAGCATTATTTTAAAAACTTAAATTATATTGGTTATCAGTCTGATAATCTTGGCAATGAAGCTCATGGAGGCACTGCTATCAGAATCGTACGTAACTAACATTAACTTCAGAATTTAAGTCGTTGATTACATTACAAATAAATTCTCAATCAAGGCAGGTATTCCACAAGGAAGTGGCCTGTATCCCATTTTATATACAAGTCTACACAGTCAATATTCAAGTGAGGTGAAATATCACAACAAGAACATATGCAGACAATTCAGCACGGTTGACCACAGAAGAAGAATGCAATGAAACCTTCTTTACTATACAGATATTTCATTAAGATTCAAATTTGGCTAAAAACTGAAAAATAAGAGCGAATGAGAGAGAACAAATGTAATAACGTAACGATCACATTTAAAAAAAACCATTCCGCTGGTCTCTTTATGGACGGTAAAAATATTGCTCAAAGTAACCAATCAGAATATCGAGGAATGCATCGTATTCTAAATTAAAGGGATTATTAAGACAACAAAAACAGCTAAATCTTAAACTTAGAAAAATGTATTAATTGATTCGAGAAAATCTCAACTTATTCTTGAAAATAAACTTCTTGTGTACCGATCAATTTTCAGACTATTATCGATTCCAATTTGAGACCCTCGAGATCCTCGCTAACGTACCTTGGTTTATCCCTAAGAAAATTATTAAAAAAGATCTTTAATTCTAACAAAGAAAGAAGAAATGATATCGATTTTCAAGAAATACAAAAAAGAGTTACAAATCAGCTCAGAACTCGTATTGTATACGAAAATATTTGTAACCCTTGTGTAAAGAAGTATAAGTAACTCATCTAGTTTTCTTGATAATATTAATTAATGGTTTAACCAATTAAGTCGAGAACAAGTCTGCCCATGGGAAGAATACGCTGTTCATGTTTGCAAGATGATTGATATTCTATTTTTTTAGAAATTTTCATGCTTTAAAACCTATTTTACTTATTTTAGAGAGATTTTTTTATTAAAACTTACTAACACCATATAAATCAATATTTATTTTAAATGTTTGGAAATAAGTTCTTAATCTATATGAATAATATTATAAACTTTTGCGCTTACACTTTCTTGATGGTGTCTCCTGATTGGTTGACTTAACCATAACATTCATATTTTCCTTATCTGGAGCATCAGTTTCTGAAGGCAGAACCTTTGAGCAATAATCATGAAATAGTAGAGCTGTAATTGGATCCAAGAATATTTGGTTATTAATTGCTCAATATATTGAAAATACTAAAAGAATGGATTAACATTTTCATTTCTCAACAAATGTTATACTATTTAAATCATATTTTCTAGCTTAATAATATTAGATTTATAATAAATCAAAGATTATAAGAACAATTCTGATAACGTTTATGGTATAATTTCATAAACATTATTTACTGAAAAATATACTATTACAATTCTAACAATAAAAAATTGTATACAATTCATTTTAATAATAAAATATAAGATTAAATTTTTTCACTAAAATAATGGTAATAACAACTATTTCACAGTATTTGAGCAGAAAATAAAAAAACATTCTAATTTTCAATAGATAAGAACAGACGTTTCCATGTGAACGATTAAATTTAATTGTAAGTTTGAAGTGAAAGTTACCATGGGCTATGTTCCACTTTGTATCCGTAAACCCAATCGAAAATGCATATGTTCCTACATGCCCACTTTCCTTTAAGAATAAGGAAACGAAATGGAACGCAGCTACGTTTCAGAATGTTCAAGACGTTCTATTAAAAAAATGAATATAAATTCATAACTTTTATTATACAGGGTCTCCAAAAAGTAACAAAATACTCAAAAAATTGTCCAGACAAAGTAACTTTCCAAAATGATCAAGGTTATACTTGAAGCAACTTTTTACCGGGAATCCATTGGTGACGTTAAATGTGACCTTGAGTATGATCTGTAATGGCATTCGAAAGAGAGGAAAATTTTACGTTCAAAAATGTACTCAGGTCAACTTCATTATTTCCAGCAAAGGTCTGAAACTATACAAGACTATACTCAACCGACAGAGGGTCAAAGTTATTAGGTTATCGAGTTATTGGTTTATCGATGACTTATGATCCGAACACATTTCTGGACGTAAAATTTCCCGCTCTTTCGAATACCGTTGTCAAAAATAGGGTTCCATTTGAAAGGACAAAGCTAACCTTGAAAGAACCTTGGAGGTCATGCTCAAGGATATATTTAAGGTCACCAATGAATTCTTGGTGACAATGACTTTGTCTGAACAATTGTTTGGGTATTGTTTGGATACTCTGTATAGTTCGTTCAATAATAAACGTTAAAATTAGATTTCAAAAGTATCTGACACAGGGTATTTTATTTTATTCAGTCCACGAGAATAAATTCTAGATTTGACTTTTCTAGAAAATAAATTTTAGACCAAAGCTGTTAGGTTTAAGGGTAGACATCTGATGATGATCTTAAAAATTACCTTGAGCTCAACCTTTAAGGTTTTCTCAAGGTCAATTGTTTTTTTAATAAGAAGCTACACTTTCTACATCGGATATGGAAAGAGTGGAAAAGTAATAGGCAAAATAATATATTGGAGTTTTTTTCTGACCTCGACAAAGTCGATTATAAGACAATGCTCAAAAAACGTGCGGTAGCTGTTCATCTGAGTTTTCTGATAATATCAACGTTTTAAAACTACATTTATACGAAAGATCAATTTGAAATGTGACAATGACCTTATAAATTCTATTCTTTAGATTATTTTCAAGGTCACTGAAATAAGAGTTATTTCTTGAATCGGAATGTATTATTTTAACATCGGCTCTAAAAAATAAAGAAAATATAAAGCGTTAATATGTATCAATGACTTTGATCTTCAAATCAACATTCAAATACATTTGAAGATCTCATTTTTCTAGTTCAAAGCTTACTGCCTCAAGCTTATAATTTCTAAATACTCATACCCTAAATTCACAAAATTAAATGTTCCGATTCAAGAAACAACTCTTATTTCAATAATCTTGAAAGTGACCTCAATATCATCATTTATAAGGTCATTGTCATATTTCAAATCGATCTTTCTCATAAATGTACCTTCAAAACGTTTAGACTGTCAGAAAACTAAGATGAACAGTTACCGCACGGTTTTTGAGCATTGACTTTCAATCAACCTTGTCGAGGTCAGAAAAAAACTCCCAATATATTATTTTAAACGTAAACTTTTCTGCTCTTTATTGAAATTCTAATACTCGAACAATATGTAAATCAATTTAATAAGAAATTTCAGAGCATTCACTACGGGTGAAAAACTTTCAATTTATTGTTGCAA